AAGGGATCAGTATGCTGTGCCCCTCAAGAGCCTCTGATCAGTATGCCCTTGCTTACCATCAGGCGGAATATCCATTTTTGGATCACTAGTTGTCGGGTTCCTTATTACCTATTTGTTAGGTGGCTCCTGAATCTAATATTAGTGTTAGACATGCCCAATATTCTCGCCTTTGTCTTACCCTTACTACCCTTCTCTGGTATCTTTTTTCTATACATCTCCTCTCCAAGACTCTTCACAGAAATCATGAGGAAATTTTTGACGATACCCTTCGCCTTCTGTCTTCTACTTTCATCTGTATTTCTTCCTCTGCTCTGTCGTTACATGAGTGGTTTCTTTGTTATTGGGACCTTATGTGTAGCTACTCCATTCTGGCTCGTGTCAATTTACCCTCAACTTATCTCAGAGATTTACGTCTTGCTCCTTTTTTTTCGACATTATATTTTTGACACCATCTCAGACAATATTGAGCGGCGGGTAACATCAGCCTGACAACAGTCCACCCTTTCAACTTTTCTTGCCCATTTGTCTCAACCAGTCTTCCATGCAACCTCTTCCCATTTCCTGTCCTTTGTCCTCCCACTCCGTTCTTCAAATATCAGTACATCTTTTCATCAAGGTCATCACTGACGTGTCATCCGTCGTCAACAATATCAGAGACTACCTGGTTGGTTTGGGACCTGTGGGAGCTCATTTATTGGATTTCCTCCTTGCTGGTTCCCCTTCGAGGATCAATGGGTGACAAAGGTTCTTTCAGAGGACTTGTTCTCACATTTCTTTCCCTGCTTCCTGTTTCTCTTCACCCAGTTCCTTTCCTCCTCTTCCTCAAGATCCCATGACTAACCAGTGTCTGTCAGAGGCATTTCAGGATTTACTTTCGCAGCAGTCTATAAAACCAGCTCACCATCCCTTGTACTTATACTATTTGCACTACTGTGGAGTTGATCTGTCACACATGCAGTTCCTCCCTTTTGATTGGGAGCACTCATCCTACCTTCTTGTGGATGTCGGTTCTCAGCATTGAGGTGTTGGATTTGAGTGAAACAATCAACATAAGTCCTCACACAAGTTGAATCCAGATGGCCAGTCCCAGATTGTTGTAGGGTGTTGATTTTTGTGTAGTACCCAGGAATTGGAGCAGATCTTAATCCCCCAATTCTTGGGTTGTAGGTGAAGCCGGTATGATCCTCATCCTACCATTGCATGGATGTCAGTACCCCAGAGAGGAGGTTTTGGATGTAGTTGACTTGCCAAATACAGTCCGACGTGCCCAAGCCACTCTACATCTTGCGATTTCCGGCTGTATATTTTACAAATTATACACAAAGGCAAAGAGTATACCTGGCTCAGAAGTGGTGTGGTTCCCCTCCTTTTTCTCACATGATAAGGAGTATCCTTTGGATGCTTTTGGGGGTGCTTTTGATATTCCCTCACTCTGGTCCTTTTCTCAATGTGGGATTTTAGCCAATCTTGTGAGAGGAGGTAAGTACAGTATCAGAAGTTAGAATTTTCCTATACTGAAAATGTATTTATGATAGGTATTTACTACTTCTCACACTTCCTTCCCATTTCTCAGGTGCTCACACCTTGTGCCAAACTTTAAAGTGAAGTAATCAACAGTAATCAACACAGTCTTTAAAAGAAAAAGAAAAGGCCACTTTGGGATAAGCTGCCTTTGATTTGTTTTCTTCTGTTGGTTCTTCAAGAGTGTGATCTTTTGGGCTTTTTCTTGGTTGCTTTTGAACCTGCTCCTTACTTGATGGCTGAAAGGTATGGGAGCAAATTTTTAGTTTTCTTTCCATCCACAGATATTGTGGTTCATGCTGGAAGGTTTATTTCTCAGTTACATGATAGAACAGTTGTGTCTTATCCGACACTTTGTTGGAACTTCGTGATTGTAGCCTACCAGGTGGAAGCATTTTCCAACTCTCAACTAATACTTGTACTCCTTGAAGTAAATCTATGTCCCCTGATGGGACAGGGTAAGTCTACAGTCTCCCATCTCTAAAAATCCACCATTTTGTTTTCCTTTCACTTCAATTTGTTAGAGGAATCAGGATCACCAAATTCATTGATGACAAGCTGGATCCCTTGTTAGGATGTCCATTGGTTCAGTTTTTGGCTGCTTCATTCTTCCATGTTGTCATTGGAGTCTCGAATTTCATCAGCTCTTTTAGGGGGTCATAGTTCTGCCCTATTCGTGGGTCCTGACATTCTCGGCTCCGAGAATTTGTGGACGTATGGAAACCTTAACCACGGATCCAGGGTCACTGCAGCTCCTTGAGTCAGGGTTTATCTTTCAGCTCATATCTTCAACTCTATTATCCACCCAACCTGTGGAGTTTCCATCTCTCACAGATCATAGGGATTTGGAACTAGTTCTAGAGCTATCAGTGTTTGTTTGGTCTGGGAGTAGTGAGTGAGTCATGCTAGTTCTTTCAAGGTTTTATTCCTGTCAGTTGTTGGGCCTATGCAGATAGGAGTTTGGGGTCCAGTCATCAATCTTTCTCATGTATATCCATACCTAGATTATCCAAGGTTCACATGTTACTCATTCATCAATATCAGTTCACATTTTCTACTGGGTTTGTAGATGTCCATGTTTGCTGTAGTCGGCATTTGTTGTGCATGAGGGTCAGGTACTGCTTTTCCAGGTTTTTACCTTCAGACTCGCATCGGCTTCACATGGGTTCTGTCATTTTGTACGAATTTTCTCGTCACTTCCATTCCATTACTCTGTGCACACACCATTCCATGGATAACTAATTTCTGCTGGTACTACCTTGTCAATTGTAAGAACATCACATCCTGATTCTACTTTCAGAAACAACCAAGGCAGGCTTCATTTTCAGGGCTGAGACATCTATCCTTACTCCAATTCCATACATCGTCAATCTGGGTATTTTATTTCTCATCTCAGTTGACTCTCATCCAGGTCAATGTTATGGAATAAGACATCAGACTCTTACTCACCTCTCCTTCTTCCACAACACAAATGTTGTTTTCTCTTCTAGGATTCAGGACATCACTCAAATCTCTTATGCCTTTGGGACGAGAGCACAAGAGATCCTTTTAATGGTCTTTACGTGATCATAAACATAAATTCACTGATTTCGATCTTCGGGGATTGTTAAGTTGGGACACTACTATGATATCGGTTCCTCTACTGCCACCTTGTTCAGAGTACCATCTTTTCATGGATGGGGTGCATATATCAACTGTCAGAAATTCCAGGTTCTATACATGGACAAAGAGAATTCCCTACACAATGTTTTTGTCCTTCTTGCTCTTCAAAAGGCAATGAATGCCTCATGGTCTGGGCTTATTAACCCTTTCCACACAGGTCAAAGACCATGTCATCACATTTGTTTTCTTGCATTCAAAATTTTATTGAACTACTATTTTAGGAATTTGTCTCTATGTTTGGTATTAAACTGTAGATTATAATTCAAATTTTGGTATTATACATTATTTTATTTTTAATTTAAAAGTAAGTATCAAAAAACACACCTAAACATTGATTTTTATGTGTCACATAATGTGTTGAATGCAGCACTGGTTCAAATTAGATGTTTGTGATGCCAAAATACAAAGTCTGTAGTTTCGTACGAATTAAGAACTCAAATTTCCAATATTATCAAGCTAGAATTCCAAAATGAGCATTTGTCAACGGAAATGACATGAATATCAGCAATGGTGTATTAAAAGGAGGTTAAATCCATTTTGGGCAGAAGTGGCAAGCATGACTCGTTTTTTAACCTGTCTCTTTGGCAGAGGTTTTTGCATCTTCCACGGTTGCCCTGTTTCAGGCAGCCTTATTGACTACCGTTCGATTATCGTGACTACATAATTTTTGAGTCCCCAGTACTCTCTGGATTCTTCAAGTAGGTTTAGGTCCTTGGTCCCAAATGACCATTCCAGTTACCTAACAGGTATATTAAGATTACAGTACAGGCTCTTTCTGAGCACCTGTTTGTGCCCTGACTCTTATATGCCATGTAATCCCTTTACCCAAAGGCTTATTTTTCATGGCTGCTGACCTACAGATATCACCAGTCTGTTTGTCCACAGACTGCTTTCTCTTTACATCCTCAGATCAGTTCTTCTTACACAAGACACTGCCAGATAGGCATTCCTTTTCATCCATTCATCTGATCACTATTTCTCACTTGTATGTCTAATCAGATTTTAATTGTGGTCATGTTCAGTGAGAGTCTTGAATGTTTTGTTACCTGCTCTAATGCCTTTAGAGATACTAGACAAATTTTTTACTGGGCTCTATTTGAAGTCAAGTATTCTTCTGTGAATCACGTCTAATTAGATTTGTCATATTTCTATGTTCTTAGTAGCCTGGTCAAATTGTCCCCACAAAGTTCTAAATCTTTCTCTTGAAAAAGGAAGAGTTAGAGGAGATCTAAGAATGGAGGTTTTTAAGATTGTTAAGGGAATTGATAGTATTGATGCCCCCCTTTTTTATATATATTATTATTATTATTATTTCTTAAAGGTGAGAATGGTAGGACCAAGGGACAAAAGACCTGAAATTAGGGAAACTATTTTCAACACATTATGTCCTCATTAGTCTCACATTCTCTTATTGGTTTTTTCACTAACATTTTAACTGCTACACATGATATTGCTATTTTATTATACAAATACAAGTTTTGGCAGAGTAGGCATCATCTTCATCTAAGATAGCTCTGTTTTTCTAATAGACGATTGGTCTTTGGAATAGATTGCCTTCAGATACAGTCAGTTAAATAGAGTATAGTGGAAGGTTCAATAAATATTTCAAATGATCAGGGCTGGATTTTTTCAAGTGGATGGGCAGCCTTGGTGTACAAAACAAACCCCTAGTTGTCCTTAAGTATTATAATGTGAGGATGTTGAATAATTTGAAGCACATGTTTATATGTGTGTTATGTACAGTATCAGTATGATGTGTTTATCAATAATATTGATGCAATGATTTCAAATTATCTGATGTGTTTCCTTTATTTTAGTCATTCAGAAGACCAATAATTGAGAATTTCTCTCGACTTAAACCTTATAAAATGGCTTCACCTTTTGATAGACGAGTAACAGCAGTAACGTGGCACCCAAAACACCCCAGTGTTGTAGGAGTAGGATCTAAAGGTGGTGAAGTAATCATGTGGAATTTTGAAAATGCTGCAGATGACCTTTTCATACCAGGAGTAAGATGATGATGAAATATTTTTGGCTCTAATAAATAATCAAAGAATGAAATGCAATCTTAACACATAAATATAATGAAGTGTAGATTAAACAGACTATATTTCCCTAAATGATGGTATGAAACTAATATATATGTGTATAAAAATTATAGAAAACATGGTAACTCTTTCAGCGTGGGCTCTATCCCAGGGACCGACTTTATAACCATTTTGTTCTTGTTATAGTTTTCAGGCTATAACTTTTAAATTAGTAAGCAAGTGTTAACAAAATTTGGCAGATTATCAGTAAACATTACAATGCTTTCATTCGCAAAATATCTTAAAGTTTGTAAAGCAATGTTTCTCTCATGCCTTTTTCTCTTTTCACATCTTGTCTATCTATTA